AATAACCTGTGCATCCAGCCCCAAAGCAGTGCTTCTCAACTGGGGCGATTTTGCTCCCAGTCAGTATGTGGCAATGTCTGAAGCCATTTTGATTGTCATACTGTGCGTGTGGGTGTGTGCGTGCATGTGTGTGTGGGTGCCTGCTGGCCTCCAGTGGGCAGAGGCCAGGGACACTGCTCAGTGTGCCACAGTGCACATGGCAGCCCCATCATCAAAGAATTACCTGGTCTCAAATGTCAGTAGTTTCAGCATTGAGAGATTCTAGCCTTCACTTAAGTTTTCCTGGCATTCCTGATCTTATCTGTGGTGAATATCTGGTAGTCATAAAAGGTACTGTGAGTGATGATCAACTAGAGCAGGAATATTATTTGGGCAGCCATTTGGTGCTGTCCGGAACCCTGTCCTTTCTGTCTGGCAAGCTAATGTCCATTAATAGGTACCTTAGGAACCCAAATGATGTCACAAAATACAAGGAATGTGAGTACACCAAAGACACTTTCAAGAAAGCTCATTTGCTCAGCACAGTTTTCACTGTGCTAATGGCATTTATAGAAACAGAAGGTGATCACTGAAGGCATGCTCACATAATATTCCTGAGCCCAGGTGGGCGTTACGCCCATCCTCACTGTAGCCAGAGCTGCTCTTCTCAGAGTTTAATATTTTGTTTGAATAGAGGATCCTGCTTCTTAAAGCAGTTGAAAAAGACCCTTGACAGGTCGGCCATAATTGACAGATGAATGATCAGAACCTGAATTGGTCTTAGGGAAGCATTTATGTATGTATGTATGTTTTCCTTCCTTCCTCCCTCCCTCTTTTTTTCTTTTTCTTTTTCTTTTTTCTTCTTTTTCTACCGACTCTTGCTCTTTCGCCCAGGCTGGAGTGCAGTGGTGCAGTTTCAGCTCACTGCAACCTCTGCCTCCCAGGTTCAAGTGATTCTCTTGCCTCAGCCTCCTGAATAGCTGAGATTACAGGCCCCTGACACAAGGCCTGGCTAATTTTTGTATTTTTGGTAGAGACGGGGTTTCACCACGTTGGTCAGGCTGGCCTCAAACTCCTGAGCTCATGATCCACCTGCCTCGGCCTCCCAAAGTGCTGGGATTACAGGCGTGAACCACCAGGCCCAGCCAGGGAAGCATTTATTGAAGTGGTCCTCCGTTACAACACACATCTCCTTTTCCTCCTCTCAGTGTACCTTGACTGTGTATTTGAAGCCTTTGGAGAACTGTGTATGAGACCCACGAGGAATTTGCCCACACAGTTGATTGGACTCTTCCTTCACCCACTCTTCAGCCAGTGCCAGTTCCTTTTCTTCTGATCATGTGATTGACATGAGAACTGTAGTTTGTATATCAAATCTTTAGGATGTTTTTGAGTTTCCTGGGGCACAGGAAACTGGCACTTAGCCATACTACAAATACAAATCTTCAGTTTTCAGCAATCTAGAAAACATGTTATCATGTCTTAATGGCATCATGAAAAGAGGCTTTAAACACAGACTTCAGTTAGCCAAGTGGTTTCTACTCATGTCAGTACTGGTGAGGGCACCATGAGATGCCCCAGTGCCCTGAAATAAATGAAAAGGCTGGTTACTGGCGGGTGGTGTGGAAAACAGGGCTAAATCATCAGGCGGGACAGAATACGTGGCTGTGGGTGGGAGCATGCAGAGCTTGGCGCTGAGTTCCGGTTCTGCCACTGCATTGTTTTGTGACCAATTATGAGTTGCTTAACCTTTCTTTGCCATGATTTCCCGGTTTGCAAAATGGTTCATCGACCCTTGTCTTCTACCTCCCAAGGATCATTTCAACAGCTTATTTGTAAAAAGTCCTTTAATAAAAAACGTAACTGTAAAGTCAGAGGTGATGCTTGAGAGAGCAGGAACCGGAAATGGAAATGGAAATGGCATGTCCTTTCTTCTAAAGAAAAGGCATTTCAGAGCTTTTTGGCTATGACGCAACATATCATAAATCCTGACATATAGTTGGAAGGTGGAAATTGCAACATCATACAAACTCAGTTATAAACCCAGCAAGTTTGAGTATGATTGTAAGAAAAAAAAGCTGGGCATTCTGTTTTTGGGGAATTGATTTTCCTAAACTTTTATTGTCTGGTAGTCTAAATTTATCATGTTGTACCATCAACCTGGCTTTTTAAAGATTTAAGGAGATCAAGTACATTTTTTAAAGTCTTTATTTAGACATTTTTTTAGATCAAGAGCTTGTCTCTGTCTTACAGGTAGATAGTCATATGGTCTACTATTTATTTAATCAATAAAGGGGACATTTATTTAAAACTTATGTTTTTGGGGGGTGGCATTTTCATGGCAGCCCCTCTGTCTCTTGGAGGGCCGATGTGTGTCAAACACACAGTCCTGCTTTGATTAGAGCCCCCAGTGGACCTTGCTGATCCCATGAGACACATTGTCCTGATTGTCCCACAGAGACTGAAGCCAAACACTGTGTCATTTGGGGACAGATTTTGATTTGTCAGATATATTTTGCCCACATGAGTGTCTGTGGACAATACAGCCTGCTCTCCAAAACTTTGCTAAATTTTGACAAACTTTCCTAGGTGTTTGCCCAATGCCAAACTTTTTTTTTCTGTTGGAGATTAAGTTGTGCTTGCTGCCCTCTAGTGGTCACTTGTTGAATCTTACCGTAAGCAGCTTATTTTTCCCCTGGTGGTTGGGAAGTGGATGGACGGTGTGTAATTGGCTCATTTTTCTAAATTACCTATTCTGAAGAAGAAGGTTTTTCCCGACAGTATGTACATCCGCCTTCAGTTTACCAGATCCTGCCTGGTCAGAGGTAACTGAGAGAACCGGAAGCTGCCCAGTCAATTCAGTCTATTAAATTATATTTTTATGATTAAGACAAACAAAGCGTACTCTGCTAACCCAGAAAAAAAAATCACATTTAAACACTTTAAAACTTGAAACAACTTCCAAACAGCGTTTGCTGTGTGTCTAGCCTTTTTGTTCTACCCCATAGTATATAAATTCTTTTCATGCTTTCCAAAAATGTTCATATCAAGAATATTGAAGTCAGCATTCCTTATTTATGTATTTCAGCTACCTTCTTATACACTTATTTTTGTTTCTCCTTTAAGATAAAAATGATGATGGAGGAAAAATAAAGCATCTTACATCTTCAAGAGAGTGTAGTTATTGTGGAAAGTTTTTCCGTTCAAATTATTACCTCAATATTCATCTCAGAACACATACAGGTAAAGAACTTTTATTTTTTTAACCATGTACTAGTCAACAAAATTGTTACCTGATTTTGTTGTTGTTGTTGTTCAGATACTCTGCTAGATCCTTGGAATAGCTTAATAAATATGTAGCCTGTTGATTGCAGCAGTTATTTTATTTTTTTTGAAACAGTTTCCCTCTGTTGCCCAGGCTGGAGTGTAGTGGCGCAGTGTGGCTCACTGCAACCTCTGCCTCAGCCTCCCGAGTAGCTGGGATTATAGGCATGTGCCACCACACGTGGCTAATTTTTTTGTAATTCTAGTAGAGATGGGGTTTTACCGTGCTAGCCAGGATGGTCTCGATCTCCTGACCTTGTGATCTTCCTGACTCAGCCTCCCACAGCACCCAGCCCTGATTTTTATTCTTGTAGTGCCATTGTTACGTTGAACATGACTTGAGCCCTGTTTTGTTTTGAAGTTCCTTTCTTTCTTCCCTTTTCTTTTTTTTTTTTTTTTTTTTTTTTTTTTTGATCCAGTTGCCTATTGAGAGCCTCAGGGGCTGACGGCTTTCCAGGCTGAAGGTCTCTGTTTTGTTTTTTGAGTCTTGCTCTGTCATCCAGGCTAGAATGCAGTGGTACAATCTCGACTCACTGCAATCTCTACCTTTCCAATTCAAGCAGTCCTGCCTCAGCCTCCCCAGTAGCTGGGATTACAGGCGCCTGCCACCACACCCTGCCAATTTCTGTATTTTTAGTGGAGATGGGCTTTCACCATGTTGGCCAGTCTGGGTTCGAACTCCTGACCTCAAGTGATCTGCCCACCTTGGCCTCCCAAAGTGCTGGGATTACAGGTGTGAACCACTGTGCCTGGCTGAAGTTCATTTGTTTAGTTTATGACTAAACAAATGTATCCTGATTCTCATATCATTAAAACCTACAATATTTTTTTTTCTTTTTTTAGAGATGGGGTTTCACCATATCAGCTAGGCTGTTCTTGAACTCCTGACCTTGTGATCTGCCCACCTTGGCCTTCCAAAGTGCTGGGATAACAGGCGTGAGCCACTGTGTCCGGCCTAAAACCTACAATATTTTTAAATATGCTGCATCTGCAGTCTTTATGATTTAGAATGAAATGAGAATCTACTTAGTAGTCTTTAGACTGTGAAAGGAGCTATGACGTTAACGGTGTCAGAGGCTGTGTCCATTTGAAATTTCATCTCTTCCACTTACTAGCTGTGCACCCTTAGGCAAGTTCTTTAACCTTTTTGTGCTTTTAATTTTCTTAGCCGTGAAAGTAGAATTATACTTATTTCCCTAGGAAGATTAAATAAGTTAGAAGTGTTGCTGTTGATTTTTCTGTTGAAGATAGGTATTCACAATTTCAAATACTTATGCCGTGAGAAATCCTGCGATGGTAGAGAAGGCAAAAGGAAGAGAGAAGCCCCTGTTTTCTGAATAAATAGATACGCGGTCTATTTTAATGCTTTTTGCACACTTCGATAATAATAGTGCCGTTTCTTGCTTTAGGTGAAAAACCATACAAATGTGAATTTTGTGACTACGCGGCAGCCCAGAAGACATCTCTGAGGTATCACTTGGAGAGACACCACAAGGAAAAACAAGCCGATGCTGCCGCCGAAGCCAAGAGCGATGGTAAAAATCAGGACCCTGAAGATGCACTATTAACTGCCGACAGTGCGCAAACCAAAAATTTGAAAAGATTTTTCGATGGTGCCAAAGATGTTACAGGCAGTCCACCTGCAAAGCAGCCGAAGGAGACGCCTTCGGCTTTTCTGGGCAGTGCTGTCCTCTCACCAGCACACAAAGATACTCAGGATTTCCGTAAAAATGCAGCTGATGACAGTGCTGATAAAGTGAATAGAAACCCCACCCCTGCTTACCTGGACCTGCTAAGAAAGAGATCAGCGGTTGAACCTCAGGCAAATAACCTCTGCAGAAGCCAGGCGGAGGTCATTCCTCCTCCGGATGGCAGTGCCACCCGTAACCTTGACGTTAGCCCCAAAGAGAAGCCAGTGGAGGGCGCAGCTGACGGCAGACACAGGCCAAGTGTGGACTGTCATGAAAAACCTTTAAACTTATCCCTGGGGGCATTTCACAATTGCCTGGCAATTTCTTTGAGTAAAAGTTTGATTCCAAGTATCACCTGTCCATTTTGTACCTTCAAGACATTTTATCCAGAAGTTTTAATGATGCACCAGAGACTGGAACATAAATACAATCCTGACGTTCATAAAAACTGTCGGAACAAGTCCTTGCTCAGAAGTCGGCGCACCGGATGCCCGCCAGCGCTGCTGGGGAAAGACGTGCCTCCCCTGTCTAGTTTCTGTAAACCCAAGCCCAAGTCTGCTTTCCCAGCGCAGTCCAAATCCCTGCCATCTGCGAAGGGGAAGCAGAGCCCCCCTGGGCCCGGCAAGGCCCCTCCGACTTCAGGGACAGACTCTAGCACTTTAGCCCCAAGTAACCTGAAGTCCCACAGGCCACAGCAGAATGTTGGGGGCCCCGGAGCCGCTGCCAGACAACAGCAATCTGAGCTGTTTCCTAAAACCAGTATTTCCCCTGCACCGGAGAAGACGAAAAGACCCGAGACCAAGTTGAAACCCCTCCCGGTAGCTCCTTCTCAGCCCGCCCTTGGCGGCGGCAGCATCAATGGTTCCATTGACTACCCTCCCAAGAACGACAGCCCGTGGGCACCTCCAGGGAGAGACTATTTCTGTAATCGGGGTGCCAGCAACACTGCCGCTGACTTCAGCGAGCCCCTTCCAAAAAGACTGAAGTCCACCGTGGTTGCCCTTGACGTCGACCACCAGCCTGGAGCCAATTACAGAAGAGGCTGTGACCTTCCCAAGTACCACCTGGTCAGAGGCATCACGTCGCTGTTGCCGCAGGATTGCGTGTACCCGTCGGCGGTGCTGCCCCCCAAACCCAGGTTCCTGAGCTCCAGTGAGGTCGAGTCTACAAATGTGCTGACTGTTCAGAAGCCTTACGGTGGCTCTGGGCCGCTCTACACTTGCGGACCTGCTAGTCCAGCCTCCAGCTCAATGTTAGAAGGTATTGCGTGAGGGGGGGCGTGTTGAAATGGCACTGATGCTGACAGTGACTAATATCTTTTTTTTTTTTTTTTTTTGGAGACAGAGTCTCACTCCGTTGCCCAGGCTGGAGTGCAGTGGCGCAATCTCAGCTCACTGCAACCTCTTCCTCCTGCATTCAATTCTCGTGCTTCCGCCTCCCGGGTAGCTGGGACTACTTGGTCCCGGCGTGGCGTGCACCACCACGCTCGGTTAATTGTTTCGTATTTTTAGTAGAGACAGGGTTTCACCACATTGGCCAGGCTCGTCTCAAACTCCAGACCTCAGGTGATCCGCTTGCCTCTGCCTGATGGGATTACAGGTGTGAGCCACTGCACCCCAGCAACAGTGACTAATACCTAATCCATGCATTCTCAGTGGAGATGGCACCACTCCCAAGGGTGGGGGGGGGTGAGTGGCAAAAAGTTCTTGGGGGTCACGGAGAGAAGCATTCTCAGGGCAGTGGTTTGTGGTCCTGCAAAGCCTAACTCTGTGGGTTTAACTCTTACCTGGAGTATTTTTTTTAAATTTGTTTTATTTTTAGAGACAGGGTCTTGCTGTTGAGAGAGAGAGTGAGGGAGAGAGAGACACAGGGTTTCGCCATGTTGGTCTGGCTGGTCTCAAACTCCTGACCCCAGGTTATCCGCCTGCCTCTGCCTCCCAAGTGCTGGGATTACAGACGTGAGCCACTGTGCCTGGCCTAACTTAAATTTATTTTTTATAGAGACGGGGATTTGCCTTGTTGCCCAGGCTGGTCTGGAACCCCTGGCCTCAAGTGATCCTCCTGCTTCTGCCTCCTAGAGTGCCAGGATTACAGGCATGACCCACCATGCCCAGCCTTATTCTTGAGTAATTCTTGTTGATGTTTTTCTGTTGTGGGAGTCATCATGAAAACAGTGGGTGAGAGCACTGGGCTAGTCCAGTCTTGTCTTGCTGTTGAAATTCCAGATGCTGCCAACTGAGGCCCCAGCTTGCCTCACTTCATCACAGCCCTTGGCTTCCTTTGCACATTCATCATGTGCTCAGCAGTCAGTGCCAACCCACCTGGGGTTTTGGGGGGTTCCTTTATTTTTTGAAACAGAGTTTTGCTTTTGTTGCCCAGGCTGGAGTACGGTGGCACGATCTCGGCTCACTGTAACCCCCCTCCTCCTGAGTTCAAGCGATTCTCTATCCTCAGCCTCCTGAGTAGCTTGGATTATAGGCGTGTGTGCCACCATGCCTGGCTAATTTTTGTATTTTTAGTAGAGCAGGGTATCAGCTTGTTGGCCAGTTTGGTCTCGAACTCCCAACCTCAGGTGATGTGCTGGCCTCAGCCTCCCAAATTATTGGGATTGTAGGTGTGAGCCAGTGCACCCATCCTGGGGGTTCTTCCTTACCTGTCTTACCACCCGCTACTGGCCTGTAAACTTCTTAAGAGCAGAAACCATATCTTATATGTATAGAGTGTTGTCACATGCCCACACAGGGCAGTATGGGGGGTGCCCAGTAAGGACCGCACGAGACCCTTGACCTAGCAGGAGCAGAAAACATGGGAACTGCCGGCTAAACAGTCTTGTGAACGGTTTTGCTGTTAAATGCTGTCAGCCCTCCATAACCTTGTGTTCTGCCTCAGTGGATTCAACCAACTGCGGGACTGAAATATTTGGGGGAGAAAAATGGATGGTTGTGTCTGTACTGAACATCTGCAGACTTTTTTTCCTTATCATTGCCTAGATCATACAGTATGACACCTATTTACGTAGCATTTACTTCATATTAAGTATTATAATAATGTAGGGTTTTTTTTTTTTTTTTTTTTTTTTTTTTTTTTTTTTTTTTTTTTTTTTTTTTTTTTTTTTTTTTTTTTTTTTTTTTTTGAGACAGCTTGTTTTTCTGAGACAGAGTTTTGCTTTGTTGCCCAGCTGGAATGCAATGGCACTATCTCTGCTCACTGCAGTTTCCGCCTCCGGGTTCAAGCGATTCTCCTGCCTCAGGGGTACTTGGGATTCCAGGTGCTCACCACCATGCCCGACTTTTATGGTTTTTTTTAGTAGAGACAGGTTTTGCCATGTTGGTCAGGCTGGTCTCGAACTCCTGACCTCAGGTGATCTTCATGTCTCAGCCTCCCAAAGTGTTGGGATTCACTTGAAAAGGGGAGGCAGAGGTTGCAGTGAACCTAGATCACGAGAGTGAACTCCAGCCTGGGTGCAAGAGTGAGACCTCTGTCTAAAAAAAAAAGTATAAGGGAGGCTGTGCATGGTTTACACTACGATTACTACACATTAATGGTGCTGCAAATACTGTGAATACTGCAAATACTACACTATTTTATATTAGGGGCCTGAGTGTCCGTGGATTCTGGTGTCTGTTGGGGAGTGGGGGACGGTCCTGGAGCCAGTGTCATTCGGATACTGAGGGACAACTGTATTAATTTAATAAATGACCTTATTTCCCCCGTACGTAAATTGTTGATCTCATAGATGACTGTGGGATTCTGTGGGATTCTCCCCATGGAAATGTATCCTGATGGCGTCCCTCGTATAGGTGTCTGGCACATACCTATATGCGTAAAAAAGTAACTCAGTGTCCCAGGGCCATCTTCCCCTTGGCAAACTTGATGAAACCACAGTGCCTTCCTTTATCAGATAGAAGCTTGCTGGTTTGTGCTCCCCAAAGAGACAAAATCAGCTTTACACATTTCAGTTTGTGTTAGTTTCAAATTGAGGATTCTGTGTGGTGACAGCACTCTATCAAGAATTGCTTGATGCTGATTGGTTCAATAGAGATAGCAAATTAAAAAACAATTGCTTTCACACACTCCAGTGGCTTTTATAAAAATTGTGATGAAATAGTAATTTTTACTGCCTTTTGATTAAAAGTGTTCGTTTTTTCCACCCATGGTGCTTAAAATGGACATGAATCAAAACTTTGTCTTTACTTAAAGGGGGAAAAGGCTCTGTGTGGTGCAAGTCAGATTCTCTTCTTTTTCCCCCTCTTTGAGACAGGGTCACACTGTTGCCCAGGCTGGAGTGCAGTGGTGCACTCATGGCTCACTGCAGCCTCAACCTCCTGGGCTCAAACAATCCTTCTGCCTCAGCCTCCCGACTAGCTGGGACCGAAGGTGCATGCCACCATGTCTCGCTAATTTTTTATTTTTAATAGAGATTAGGTCTCACCATGTTGCCCAAACTGGCAAATCCTCTTTTAAGTGATTTAAAAAAAAAAAAAAAAAAAAAAAAAAAAAGGCAACACTTTTACATAGTTTGTTTCATGATTTCATATAGGTTTTTAAAGTATTTTGGATGCCAGTATTTTTATGGCTTTTTAATTCTTTCTAGTGACAGCCCAGGCAACTTTAGTTTGAGTGACATCAACAAAATTCTGGGCTAACATGTTGTCATAAAAACAATTCAGTTGTAACTGTGCAAACAAACAGTGCGGGCAGCTGTGTGACTGTGTGTTGTGGTTACATTATCAGTGTCAGGAGTCTTAAATCGACCTCTCACAACCTATAACACCTCTTACCTAGTTATTTGACCATTTTAATTCTAATACGTTTTCTTTTTTTTCCCAATCAGGAAAAAGGCCTGTGTCATATCAACACTTATCTAACAACATGGTACAAAAGAGAAACTATGAGAATTTTATTGGGAACGCACATTACCGTCCAAATGACAAAAAAACTTGATTCACTAATTTGGGGGATAAAAGGTGAGCATATGTTTCAATTAAAAACACTAGATCAGCCGGGCACAGGCTCAAGCCCCTTGGAAGGTCAAGGCGAGTGGATCTCCTGAGGTCAAGCATTTGCGCTGGGCGTGGTGGCCGGTGCCTGTAGTCCCAGCTACTCAGGAGGCTGAGACAGGAGATCACTTGAACCCGGGAGGCAGAGGTTGCAGTGAGCAGGTTACAGACTGCACCACTGCACTCCAGCCTGGGTGACAGAGCGACATTCCGTCAACAAAAAAAGAAAAAATTAGGATTGGTTTTTACTTGATTGGAAATAAACCATTAAGTTGCCTAACATAACGTAACAAAATTGCTTTTGATTTGGATTTTTAGATGTTTTAAAATTAGAGTCCTCAGGATCTTTGGATGTTAGTGATGGTAATAGGAAAAACAGCCATGGCCACTGAAATTTACTGAGCATTGACTTTGTGCTAGGCATTGAATGAAGGGCAGTTTGGTTCTATTTATTATACTTTCTTAAGTAAAGAATTTTCTAAACTATATTTAGTTTTGACCTTAATCACTTTAAAAATGTTTTTTTCCTTAGGTCTTGGTGCACATCAGGGCTTAATCTCCATGAAATTGAATTGTAGTTCATCCTTTGAGAAGCGAATGGTGAAAGCTACTGAAATAAGCTGTGATTGTACTGTACATAGCACATACAAGGAATCTGCAAGGAACACTACAGTTTTGTAAAGTTGTTCTGTTAACTTTTGTACCAAATAGCAATAAAATCTACTTGGAACTGTTGGAGCCTACATACATGGGGACTGGATAGCTCTATTTTGTCCCTGAATAATATTTTTTTTAGAATCGACCAAATAAGAAGTGGAATTTTTGCATACTTGAGCGCTGCTGAAAAATGATTTGGGTTGGGGGGGGATGGGGGAAAAGTATATAATGCTTGCACCTCAGGTAAAATTCTGTAAATATCTAAGTTGTAAACCTGCTTGTTCAAATACTGTGTGTATTCCTTTTCTCTAATACAGCTCATCACTTGGAGCAGTTTCTGCTATTGTGCTCTTTCATTTAAAATGTATTTTTTTTTTTTTTTAAACTCTCAATGATTTTGTATTATGTTGAATCCTCTGAAATCTGTTGTTGTCTTAAAATTGTTAATGGAAGTATTGACCCTCTATGAATATGTGCTGCAGATAAGGAGGTCAGCCATTCTGAATTTGGCAGCATTTTATTGCAAGTTTCAGCATGTAGCTGGGGAAGGCACCTTCTTCCTTGCCTCTCCAGATTGTCCTGGAACCTCCAGATCCTTGACTGAGGGGGTTGGGATGGCTTACATGATTTTTAAGTGAGTGTGTCTACAGAGAAGCGTTTTCTCTGTAGAGGAGAGCCACACATCGTGTAAACATAAGAAACTGTATGTGCAGTTACTTAAATTTGTTTCTATCAAATCATTTTTTTTTTTTTTTGAAAGTTGAGTGTTTGGGGGTATTTGCCTAAATTAGCATATAAAAACATAAATGCTAAATTATACATGTGGATTGCAGATTTTGGAAACAGTTTTAAGAGAAAGTTTTTGGGGAACGTTTTAGGTTTGTATGTGGTAGTTTTAGTGTGTCTGGCATTTGGGTGAGCTGTGGACAGACACACTAGAGTTGGTTATAGACACATTGATTCTGAAGAAGGAACTGCTGGCTGAGCCTCCTGGGAGTCGAGAAAGAGAAAATCTGTTTCTGGACCTCAGTTTACCTTCCCATTTTGGGTTGCTTGGGAGCAGTAACATTTTTCTCAGTGCACATGCAATTTGGGTTTTAGAGAAGATCGCCACCAGCTGGCTTCCTAGATATTTTAAATTTTTGTTCTTTAATGTGCTGGCCATGGCTGAGTTTAATAAGTACATGGGCTTAGCGACCACAAAAGACTTGTTAAGAAACTGTTTCAAAAATAAGTTTGCACTGTTCATTTTTCTGGCCTTCCTCTTCTCCATAGAGCAAGGGTAAAGTTCTAGAAGAATCTTTTTTTTTTTAATTATGCAACGTAAGGTGTCCTTGATAGGAATCTTAGCTCCTGTGTTACAACAGAGAACTAATTTGAGATCAGTCTGCTGGCATTGCAATGAAGTGCTTTGTATCAGGAAAGTGTACACTATTGACCTTTTTTCCTGTTCACAAGCTGAGCCATATGTACATAATCTAGATTTTGTTTTCATAGTTTTGCACTTTTATAGCCTATTTTTGAAGATTAACACATTTGCAAGATGATTGACTCAATCTTTGCTTAATCCAATGAGTGTTACAGAGAGCTTGCTGTGACTAGAAACGTAAATCTTAAAAGGGGGTTTGTGATGATAGAGGGCTGGAATTTAAACCTGCATTTAAAAAAAAAAAAGAATCACCAAATCTATTTGAAAACAAGTCAGTTTGTGTCATGCTGGAATTTTTTGGGCTTTCAAATTTGTCTTTTTAACCACATTTTTGAATGTATAAAAATACCAATTATTTTCCTACAGCCCTTTGTACTTCAAAATATGTTTTTGTGTCCATCAGTATTAACTATTGGTATACTACTGGTTTTATATGTGTTTTTTTTCTTTGAGACAACAGTACATATAATAGAGGTACAATTTGTGGGATTTTTGTTTATGTATTTATTTCATTCCAGTTTGATTTATTTTAATTGTTGATAAGTTGTCAAACAGTAGACATTACTTGTTTTATTTATGATATATTTCAGCTTAAAGTTATGATATGTGGAAGTGTAAATATAGATTTGGTGTTTTGCAATCTTAGGTTTCAGTGTTTATTGTGTTTCTGATTTTCTTCAATTTAACTTTTTAGTTTTCTTTTTTTTTTTTTCCCTTCAGTTGTGGTCCCACTCTGTCACCCAAGCTGGAGTGCAGTGGTGCAGTCACAGCTCACTGCAGCCTCAAACCCCTGAACTCAAGTGATTCCAGCCTCTCAGCCTCCCAAGTAGCAAGCTGTCACACATGGCTTCTAAACACAGTTTTAAGGCCACATGGCTCATGCCTGTAGCTGTAGTCCCAGCACTTTGGAAGGCCAAGGCGAGTGGGTCACTTGAAACCAAGAGTTTGAGACCAACCTGGCCAACATAGTGAAACCCCATCTCTACTAAAAATAGAAAAATCAGCTAGGTGTGGTGATATGAGCCACTGCACTGGGCCTAATTTTATCTCTGACATTCTTCAGTAAGTATCTCTACCAGACAAGAACTTTTCATTGTCACACGAAACTATTTGAACAAGGATTTCTCATAATTATCTCCTAGTCCATGTCCGTGTTTCCTGGTTGCCTCAGAAACGTCTTGGAGGTGGCCGGATGCCCTCAGGATCCAAACAAGACTTCCCCATTGCATTGAGTGGACAGGCTTAAGTTTCTTTTAATCTGACCCTACCCTTGGCCCCAACATATTTTATGACATTTTATGTATTGAAGAAACTGGATCATTTGTCCTGTAGAAGTCCTCACATTCTTGTTTGATTTTACTGCGTATTTGTGGTCTTGTTTTACCAGTTTGGCCTCTAGCAAATCTAGACTAATGGAGATTTGGGTTCACTGTGAGGGGGATGGGGCTATGTCCTTTCTCTTGCTTGGCCTCTCAGACATGCAGCATTTGGTTTTCCAGTCTGGGGTGACGGTTTGATATGTGGGTTCAGGTATGTTCACTGGCCAGCCGTCCTAAAGTTCCTGCCAACCTTTTTTTAAAGTTTTTTTCTTTTTTGTTTTTGAGACAGTCTTGCTCTGTCGCCCAGACTGGAGTGTAGTGGCACAATCTCTGCTCACTACAACATCTGCCTCCTGGGTGACGGTAAGATTCCGTCTCAAAAAACCCAAAATGTAAGACGTTTCGGATCCCATCTCTACTGACCCACATCTGGGAATTGTCTTTATCCGAGGATCCTGGGTTCCTTTTATGGGAAGCTGTAATGAGGGTGATTTGGCCGCAAGGGGTACTAACCCCTACCTGGGTGCTTGTGCTCCTCGCCTTTTTAATGTACGGAAAAAGGAAATACGATCAAAAAGGAATCCTCAGTGAATGATACTGCTATTTCCAACATGTTTTAGAGTTTTTACTACTTTGATTTTTGATTTTCTGAAAACCTGGGTTCCTGATGATAGTAACATAATGGCTCTAATCTACCCTATATAACGAACACAACACCAGTGTTATTACAGCACTGCCCAATGAGCCTTTCAGATTTCTTTCTGTAGTTCTGTTTGTCTATAGTTTTCAAGTTGTCCCTGACTCCCAGAACCATTGAGAAATTGTTAGGAATGCAAAGGTTTGTCCTAGACTTGCTCCATCAGGAACTCTGCAAGTGTAGTCCTTGTACTTTTGCACCAGGGGCAGGGCTTGTATTTTACAGGGAGGATGTCACAGCAGAACTAAAGGACACGGCTGTTATTTGGA